ATTTAAAATATAAATGAAATTAATTAATTGGAGACGAATGAATCTAAACTTGAATGTAAAAAATATAGGATAAAATTTTACTGCTCCTCCAATTTTTATGAAAATCAAGATTCAGTTAAACAATGATAATAGATGAATTTTTAAATTTCTTCTTTTCCGAGAAATTCGCTTACACTTAAAAAGTTTTATTCTACATTCTCTTTTTATATAGAATAATTCGTGTATAATGATATTATATAGCAATAAATTGCTATACAATTTAATATTGTTTACGGAGATACAAATGAGAAATATTTTCATTCAACCTGATTAGCTAGATTAATTAATGAATTGGCAATTAATAACACATCATCATAGAACGATCTATCTCATTTTACTTTTAATTTCATTTTTCATTGTGTATGAGATACGCGAAACTTTGTGCCAAATTAAAATTAATGACAATTTATCAGAAAGAAAGAGTTCGATCAGAATGACCTGGCCGAGTGTTCTTGGCCCGATGCCTGCCAGAAATTGACTGCGCTTTAACTCGCTGCACTCCACTTCATGGATAACTGATTGGACGTTCGATTCCTAGTAATTAAACGCCGTCAAATTTAAGTAAAATCGATCTCCAGTTAATCATCAACCCTTCAAATTATACGCCTGATTTTCTGTCCGATCGATCCAAAGTTCTCGTAAAATGAGAGTTCTCCCAAAAACGAGAGTCTCACCCTTCCCGAAATTCCCGGTAGCAAGATGTCGAGTGATAAATTTATCGTCGTAGACGAAACGACAAAAATAACCCCTGCGCACCAATGAATGCATAAGCACGGAAGGATGCACTCGTTGCTCGAGGAACGTGTCTTGTGTTATCCATTCAACCATTCAACGACGAATCGTCGTCCTCCCTTCTCCCTTTCTTCCTTCCTATGTCGGCCGGAAATCACTAGCTTTCAACGATTTATAAACCGCGAAGGAAATCGATCGATGGATAAACTGTTTGCGAATGTGGTTGGCGCGAAAATTTGCGACGGCCAAACGAAATCGCAGAAGAAGGGTGGGAAAAATATTGCTAATTATGTATGAATAATCGTTTCCTCTGGAGTCAAGGGCTCGTTTCCTCTGGAGTCAAGATTAGATTAGATGTATACGGCGAGATCTCATGGTTGACCATGGTTGGAAAGAGTAAATAAAAAATACAGGGTAGCATTATCGCATAAATATTGCCATAAATATTATTCGTTTCACGCACTCGTTATTATCATGTATGCGTCCAGCAGTATATATAATGATTTTTATCCGTTGAAACCTATTTCAACTGGTGATGTGCAGATCTTAATGTAATCGTTACGCGATAATAAAATGTTGAGACGAATAATAGATAATAAATAGTTAATTCGCAAAAATATAAATAAAAAAGTAATTTGAACGTTATTTCTCAAATTAAATAAAGAATTTAATTTTTATATATCGTTTTAGAATAGAAAAATTTCCTTTCTATTTCGTATTCACATAAGTGAAATTAATTCGTATATGGCAAATATTTTGTTAAAATTAAAAAAAAAAATTAAAGAATCAAATTCTCTTCTTTTTAAGAAAATTAATAAGAATCGTTTTGAATTTGTTTGCAAATCACATGACCCACGCATGCCCCAACCGTATTCGATAAATGGAACAGATCGTATTTCTTTTATAGCAATGTTGCTTTCTTTATTACCTACACCCTATGGCTGCCAGCATACAGCCTGTTGCGTGCACAAAATACATATGTCTCGAGAGCTTCTTAATCCTTCCCTTCCGAGGAAAATTTCATGTCCAGCTAGCTACCGTGTAATTACTTTAAAACGATATACATTGAAAACATGGTCTGATGAAACACTGGATGAAACGTTAATGTTCCTTAAAAGAAGATCAAAAAGTGATATGCACGTATACACACATTTACGAATGCGTGTATGTGATCACGGAAAAACGCCATTTCTATACGTTAACCGGTTCGAGAATTACCCGAGCCCGTTTAAGGTATGTATTCAATTTAATTTCTCGCCACGTACAACATGGTCAATTACATTTGAAAAATGATAAACAGCCGTTTTCAATAATTATTTTTAAAAAATTTTTCATGTTTAGATTTTCTTTTCCAAAGAAAAATAAAAATAAATAATTAAGTATATATTTGTTGCAACCGATACAAAATCGATAATATATCCATTAAAAGTTCGACGTTCTAATAAAACTTGACCGGATAAAACTAAATAAAAAGTCTATTATATTTGATTTAGCGAGAGTCGATCGACAGCGGCAATGGCTGATCTTTCTCTATTAGCGGTACGTTAGAAGCTCATAATAAGATTAATTATCGATAATGAACCTCTCTCACCGAAGAATCTATTATATACGAGGCCGATATTGCGATTATATAATTGCCTCGTTTCTGTTTTCGATCGTTTGTTTCGTTCATGGAGTATATATTCCAATCAGTCAGATCATAATAAAAATATATTTTTATTAAGCTTTTAGTTATTTATCCCTCTCCTGGAATGGAAACAATTATTAATCAAAGTGGTAAACAGCAGTATTGATTAAAAATTAAAAAAATACACGTGGATTTTTGAGGTTAGGTTGTTTGCTGCTACAAAATAAAAATTATTCAGAGCTAAAATTAAGTCAATGAATTGTTCAAGAATTTTGCTTTGTATCTATCTGTACAATGAATAACAATATTGTGGCGTGGTCAGAAACAAAAGCGACACAACGAGCTTCTCGTTCGAGAAACGAGACCACCGCGTGTCGATTACGTCGGCCACCGTGATCGCGGCAAAGCTCGATCGTTTTCAAAGGCGTAAGAAGGCAGAGGTAAGATAGAGGTAAGAAAGAAACGTGGCGGAACAGGGGATGTGAAAGAAGACCAAGAGTAGCTTTTGGTAAGTAATGGCGTAACCTCTCAACGAGCCTCTTCCACGAGTTGCTTTAATGTACGCGACTTGTATAGCTCGGAGATAGGGAAAGGTGGTAAACATTATACTTCGAAGAGGGAAAGTGGTAACACTCTTTCCACCTTCATCTAGCTCTCGTCCAACTCGATACTGAAGTACCCTTACTAGACTCTTCCGATCTCAAGAATAAAATACGCATGCTGGATATCGTTCGTCTTCGTTTTACTTTCCTTTGACTAATGATTAACATGATACGAGAATCAGACTGACGAACGAGTTCTTTTGAATTTTTTCCTATTATTCTATTTCCAAACATATTCCGTGTAATAATTGTGGGGGGAGGGGGGGGAAATTGGTGAGATTAAAGAGAGATAAAAATAATATTTTATTATATTATACTACTTTTGAAAAAGAAAATTTAACGCTTTATATTTATTAATTTTTTAATAAAAAATTTAACTTATTTTTTGATAAATATGTATATTAACAATATCTATCTTTAGAAAAATTTTCTGTTATCAAGCCCAAGTTATGTAGTAAATAATGCATATTAATCTTTTAAAATAAGCGGCATTTCTCCCATAATTACTCTAATTGTTGTTTGCTGTAGTATATCAAAGCTTTGTGAACGTCACGAGAACACAGTAAATAGAGATCGAACAAATTCCCTCATCTTAATTAAAATGAAAATAGACGTTCAGGATTAAATGAGATTTATCGAGCGCTTAATCACGACATATCTTAATGCATCGAATAAAGGAAATGTATCATATTACGTGGGATATCAGAACGAATTTCGTGCGTAAGACGTGTTAACGTAGATTTCATGCAAACACGAATGCTTCTTAATTACACTTCTGTCAAATGGCATTGCAGAAGTAACGATTGTATATGACACTTGGCACGTGTCAACAATTATTACGCAACACGGTAACGATGAATGAACCGAGAACTTTACGGTACGTTGACTTTCATGAGAACTACCGACGTCAATTATCAGTCTTCGATGCTCACTCGTTCATTAACATCCAAAGTCAATCGGATGAACATACCACTTGATGCTAATCAACTGTAAGACTGCATGTAAAAAGTCAATCGAATATATATTTTTTTCATGCTAATGTATACGATTGAAATCGGAAAATCTTCTTTTATAAAATGTACTTTGCTCTCACCATTCATAGCTTATGGTCCATTTACGTAATGAAACGTATATGAAATTAGAACATCTAATATATAACTTTAATAATAGTAATAGACTAGTTTATATGGAGAGAGAGATATATATATTATAACGTAATTTAATCTACAAATTTAAGCTACAAATATAACGAATGAAACGATATTGTTCAAGATAATGAGCACAAATTAATAACGTTGTTATAATCCAATAAATTTATACAAAATAACAAAAGAAAAAAGAAAAGTAGAATAAATGAAAAATAAAATCCGAAGTTCAAATTTCATTAAATCTGTTAAATCTCTTGTTCTTTCGATAATAACAAATCGTTCATGCGCGCGTGATAGTCACACTTGTTTCTGTATCGCACCAATGACCACCGAGATCGTTCCTGCACGCAACGTTCCTATACTCAACGTACGCTTGTTTCAGCGCAACCACCTTCTATACTTCCACCATCGTTCGATCTTAAATTTCTATGCATTCCTTACCACTATATCCCTTTCTGTAGAACTCTTTAATCGATCTTAATTACTAATACTTTTTAAATAGCATTCAATCGTCACGTTTGTATCATTTCATTTGGCGAGAGAAGAAACTAACGATTAACACGATCAATCGGACTGTTGATAATTTTACTTTTTTCATTATTTACTTATTTTCTCGAGAATTATCCAACAAATTCCGATAATACCACATCGATTTCCAATATTCGATCTTCGAACAATTTATCGTATTAACTATTTTTTTTCGGTTTGGAAATTAAATTGATAAGAGCAATAATTTCATATTTATTATATTAAACACATTCTAGTATCTCATATTTCGTGTTTCGTGTTTTCACGTATAGTTAAGTATGCCGCAACGATCGATAAATGAAACACGATGAAACGCACACTGACCTTTCTGCTCCGATCCTGGGTTCGATGTTGCCAACTTCGAGCAAAGGTAGATGTCTTTAGAAAAGTCAAATTCACGAGACACTGCAAACTACTTACACTCACGGATGTCCTTTCCAACTAATTTTTACATTCTTATCGATGCTGTTAATCTACTTATAGAAAACAAATGGACAGCAATAGGATTAAAGAAAAATATATAGAGAACCAAAAATGACTACTGGCATGGCTCGAATTTGCACTTTTACGTGAACATCGCCGATGATGTGTGAACGAAACATAGATCTCTATATGTTTGACACACGGTATGATCTATCATGTCTAATTTGATGGACGAACAACGCGAAAATTTTGATTGATTGTTTAAAGTTCGTTATCAATGTCACTGCACATGTCATTGGTGCTCACTGTCGATCACTATTACATTCGAATCGGGCTGCAGTGTATCCCGGAAGTTCTCACGATTCCATTCGTATATGTTCTAATCGAGATTTAAGCGACAAACCCAACTGAAACTTCAACGCAAATCAATCTGCCGAAACACTCGCGGAAGGAAATAGCCGAGTTAAGAATCGTGTAGCTTATGAACGCGTTGCGAGAGCAAGAACATTCACAAAGGAATCAACTGAAAAACCCAAAAGATGCGACGCGGTAAACGTCCACGCTCGCTCTGAACAGCCCAGCGGCGGCTCGAATCTAGCGCGCATCTGCGCCGCGCATTTCCTCCCTTCATTGGCTCGCCGACCGCTATTCTTCCCCCGCCATACCACTAGCTGCGCTACAGGGGTTCTCTTTACGCTCGACGTCACCGCCGATTCTACTATTTTATCGACTTTCTTTTCCTTACTCTTCTTCTTTTTTTTTCTTTTTTCCCTTTTTCCCCAGATAACAAGCGAATCTACCTGTAATCGAATTGCTTACAGTCCTTTACACTCTACCATTGATGGTTCATAAACTGTTTCCAACTTATGATTTTACAGTCTGCTTTTTCCGAAACATAGAAATCTTAATTATCATGTAAGCATTTTACATGCTTAGCATTGTTATTATGTCGTTACTTTTGATATGGAATCAATGATTGTTACGCGAAAGAAAGAAAGAAACAAAGAAAAAACTGGGAAACCGTTAATGTTTATTTTCAATTAATCATCGTTCGTTACGAAAGAAAAAAACTTGTAAACAATGAATGCATCATTATGGATCGATTATATAAATAGAATTATAAAACTTGTAACTCGTTATAAAACGTGAATACATATGTATTTATTTAAACAGGCTCGTCACATCATTAAAAAGAATTGGCTAAGTTAAATTATCTCTTCTCGTTGATCTCGTTATCTCGTTCCCTTTTGTAGATTTAACTTTTATATATTTATTATAAAATTTGATCAAATTATGCTAAACTTCATCACAATATTGGATTCAAAGGCAATCTTCTTTTTCCAAATTTTAAAAAATTATACGAAATTCTAAAAAAATTCGTTATTTGCATTCTCATCGCATATAATCTTATAATTATAACATATCATTAATAAATATAAGAAACATTCTTAAAATTTTCACAATATCACTTATCTAGAGACAATGCTAAGATACATCGTGCAAAAAAATAATGAAATAAAAAAATACATAGATCAGCTTCATAATCGTTCGACAGCCTAATATCATGTTGTATCGTGATATAATTATATATACGTGTGCATTAAACGTGCTTTTGATTTTATCTTTTTTTCTCAACTTATTATCTTATAATTTTTTATAATACATAAATAATTATTTAGATTGTCACAATCTAGAAAGAAGAAATCACAAAAATATATACATATAATATTACACATTTTATTTTCTCCAAGCTGGATTCATTATATATATTGACATATATTGCGTACAAAATTATCTAATTATTTTGATCTACTGGATTTTAATACAAACACATAATATATAAATAATTTGCATTTATTTTTACATTATTCCTACTATGTATGAAAACTATCATGTTATATATAATATATATGATATATTTTGTTATTCACAGCATGTATCTTCGTGTTAAATATCTGAACGTTGATTAATTAAAGGCAGCAAAATTAATAAATAAATATTATAAATAATGTTATATTTATAATATAATAATAATGTATAAGTTAATTACATTTTGTAAATAAATGGATAAATATTTGATTAAAATATGGTGTTCGTTGGACAATGTATAAAATAAAAATAAAATATCATGATAACTTTGTATTTGCAATTAAAAATATAATAACAAAATTATTAATGACACATCTTTAAATTTTTTTTTCATTTTTTTCATCTGTCAAATTTAGAACATTTTTTTGAAAATATTAAGCGTCAAAAACACGGAAATACGCATGCAATACACACGCAAAATTGGAAAATGGCATAATTCAGTGAGGTGAACTTCTCTATGTATGAAAAACATCGTTCAACTTTTTCAATTTACGAGTTTCGATGCGCAGTGTTGAAATAATACGCACCATGTTTGATTCCATGTGTGTGTGTGCGTATAGAGGCACGTTCGCTTTTTCTCGATGTATACATTCAGATAATACGGATCTGTTCGTTCGAAATGTGTCTCCCGAACGATCGGGATACAACAATGTTAGATGAAAAGAATAAAATTGTTGTTGGTTGTTTTATTGTTTGTTCTTAAAACCTCGATGTTTGAAAAGTTTGACCTCTTTCGTGTAGCAAATGTATAAATGATATTTACAAATAATATTTTTAATTACTCTTGCAATATTGTTCGACGAATATCGTTCATTGCGATAATATAATAATAATTAATCACAAAATTATTTACACTCTACATTACAAGGAAATTTACTTTGTTTGAAAATTTTTATTTTACTTTCTTAGCAATTCTTTTTATCGAGAAATTTCTTTGAAGGAGAAAAATTAAAAATTTCGACATTTTTTTCAATTTTTGATACTTTTATCCGAACATATTTTCACGAGAGATAGAATGAGCTTAAAAATAAAACAATTTATAATATAAAATTTTCTTTGTCTCGTATTATTATGAAATAATATTGAGAAGAATGAAAAAGTAACTTGAAACTTTGAATATTGATTTCATGTGTTTGAAATAATATTAAAAAAGAAAAAAATTGTCATATAATCATTATATTTATTATAATCAATATACACCCTATTATATTCTCTAAATATATTCACAAAATTTCATTAAGAATAAAAAGAATTAATTAATTTTTTTCTAAAATAAGTAATAATAAAAGGGAAATGTAAAAGCAAATTTGCAGATATATAATAATTTTCCAATATTTAACAAATTAATTCTTTGCTAATTATATACGCAGCAAAGATCCAATTAAAATATAAAAAAACATTTATATAAATAGAACGATAGTTTAAATAAATAGAATTCGTACAAACAGAATTTTATCGAAGTGGAATTCTATTAAATATTAAAGAACCTATTATTTGTCCTCCGACAAATAATTTTACATAAACGAAATTCGTAATACGATTGAATATAAAAGATTTGTGGTACTCATTACACAAGATTCGCTCGATACAGAATATAATGAAATAACTTCTCGTATTCTTCTTTCTTCTCTTTTACTTTCCCTTCACTGTTTTGCTTTTTATGAACCGGTCTTTATGCCGTCTTTATATCGAATGGAATTCAGCCGAAACCGATGAAATCAACAAGAACAGAATTTGAATGTGAAACAAGTGAAACAATTTGCAAGTCAATTGTTAATATTTGCATATTAAATTCATTAATTAATATTAGTTAAGGAAATTTAATATGAAAAAAATAGAAAACTAAAAATTCTATCTATCATTAATTCAAAAATAAATTTTCAATAAATTCTTTTATTAAGATAGGCATTATTAAATTATTTAATACGTGTTTACTTTCTATTCAGATTTCATTTCTTTCATTAATAAATCATTCTCAAATGGTATTCGTTTCTAATACCATTTACTCTGGTTTACCTCATCGACCCTATTTCCTTTCATCGAGGCAATATCCGGAACGAATTTTCATCGATAGAAATATTTCCGCCAAGAGTCATCTGGATGTCACGGAATCCTTCATTTCAGTTTCTTTCGAGCGATAATCTTCCGTGTAAATTCTTAACAGTGATTTTCTCTATGAAATTCTACATTATTTCGTTGTATATATTTATACAATTGAGTCCAAAAGTTATTAGAGAAAGTGGAAGGCATGAATTATTTACGAGAAAGGAATAAAGATACTTTCATCTTCAAATATTATGCTAATACTTTTTGTTGATGCACGTAATGAATTGGTTCATAAATCCAAGAAGAATGAACGCGAATGATTATATATATCGCACAATTTATCTTTTTAATTTCACTTTTTTTCCTTTTTTCTTTCTTCTTTTAATATATATTTTATCGTCCAATAAATCTGAAAATATATCAAGAATTTTTTTTACCGAGAACTACTGCATTCCTAACGAATTAGGCTCGTTCCAATATTTATGGTTCATTGGAAGCAAAGTCGAGAGGAATCCAACCCTTCAGCGACGAGAAATCTATCGATTAAAATATCAAACGATATGCGCGTGAAAGCACGATTTGCGGTTCAAGCCAAGCTCTGCTGGAATTGCCGTATCTATTATATATTATGTATTGTGAGCATATATAACAGAACCACGAAAAATCCAATATTTCGTAAGTAAAAATTATTTTACCAACGATTAAAGAAATATATTTCAACGGGTAAAAAAAGACCAATGAAACTGATCCCAGACCAATGAAAACAGAAACATTTTTAATTTATCACGAAAAAAAAAAAAAAAGAATATGCAAAAGTGGCCGCTTTTTATTTGAAATAAAAATAAATTTATTTAAGATAAAAATGTAAATAAATTATAAAATCTTATTTATAAATATTTAGAAATATATTGTTTTCAAATAATAAAGAAAAAATTCTAAATTCTTTATATTTTAATACATAAAAAAATACAAACTTGATTTTAAATTAAAAATTATGCACAAGAAAGAATGTATCTAAACCTAGACAAAAGAAAAATGGAAAATAAAAATTTCACCATACAAAAATATATTTATCTTTTTTTTATAACTCAATTCAAGTAAAAAATATATTAATATCAAATATTAAATTTAAATAATGTTATTCAAATATCGTAAAAGAAAAATTTTATTTAAATAATTATTCGAATAAAAATTTATTCCTTGCCTCGATAAAACTTGTGAGAACGATCAAACGAGAAAGAAGCATTATAGACTTTGTATTACATGGAACGAATATAATGTAGAAGAAGGTGGCAGGAAAAAAGATGTTCATCTTGGAAAAGAACGCCAACGAGGCAGCTGACCGTGATTGCCAAAGTAGAGTCCATTTAAAGGGCTGCAAGCTACTTCTTGCAACCGGTATCGAAGAACTAGTCGGCAGATGGTATACGCTTGGCTGGGACCTTCAAAAACAAGCGAGGTACGCTCTCTCTCTCTCTCTCTCCATCTTACGCATTTACTTTATCTCTTACATCCTCGTAAAGATCGAGGTCATTCTCGATCGTGGTCACTTTCCATTAAACCGTAATTACATCGATTACTTCATTAGAATCATGTTTCGGTTATTTCTCTATTCGTATTTATCTTCAATAATTATTGATTATTTATATTCAATCGTTCGTTCGAGAAGAACGCATCGATGTA